TAGGGGACCACATTAGTTGCAAGCCCCCAGCCCCCCCTCTCAGAAAATAAACTATCAGTTGCTTTACTCAATTGGTGGCCCACTTGCTTAAAAGCATCCCCTTTCAATTGGTGGCCCACTTGCTTAAAAGCATTCCCCTTTCAATTGGTTGCTCAACCACAGAACCCAAAGCCAGCTGACACCTCTGAAATTTGAAAACCATCCCCAGCCCTGAAACTGCAAACTCTTTATTAAACCGTGGTTTAAAAAATGCCAAAAAAAAACACAATCAGGACAAGGGTACCCCTCACAGACCCCACTGAACCACAATAATGTCATTCTTTTAGGGGACCACATTAATTGCAAGCCCCCAGCCCCCCCTCCCAGAAAATAAACTATAAGTTGCTTTCTCAAAAGCATTCCCCTTTCAGTTGGTGGCCCACTTGCTTAAAAGCATCCCCTTTCAATTGGTGGCACACCCCTTTGAATGGCTACAGAAAGAACTGAAAGGGAAGTGGTTGCAATACTAAAGTAGTATTCCAAAAGTCTGCTCAGGAAGAAGTGGTTGCAATACTAAAGTAGAATTGCAAAAAGGAAGTGGCTGCAATACTAAAGTAGAATTGGGCCCCAAAATCCTCCATTGTTTGGACGTCCCAAAAGTGAGCCCAGAGTATTTTGGCGCCTCCATTGTTCAGGGGGGGGCCCTTTATTAATCAGGTTCCAACATTAGACAGGGGGATTCCCTTGTATCACACAAGTGATAAACCCCTTGATCCCACAACCCTGGGCGCAACGGTTTTCCTTTTGGTTTCCCTTTGCACCAACCCATGGCTTAAATCGAGGGGTCATTCCATTTCTCATTCCCTGCCTAGAAAGACAAACCCGGCTCCCCGCTCGATTTCGCCGGCAGACCCCCTGCGCGGGCGGCCCAGGAATCTGCGAGCGCCTGCCGGAGCCGTGCAGCCTCGGCCTCGCGCATTTGGTTTCCGCTGAGCAAGTGGCACGGCTGGTCTAGTCTGGCTGAGGTGGGTGGCTTGTTTCTTGGTGGACCCAGTTTGGTCAAAAATTGAGGAGGCGCCTTTTGTGGGTGGCCGTTGAAGGCTCGAGTTTTGGTGGGCCCGAAACGTAGGGCTGGGAAACCGTCGCCAATTCGGGGGTCCCCTTCTCCAACTTTGAGAAACTCGCACAGGGTGCGGCTCGGTGTCTGATACCTTTGGGGTGGCTTTTAAGGGAGACCAAATGAAAACCGAAGCCATACTGGGGGTCTGAATCCCTATTTTGACACCTACCCAAGGTTATCTACCTCAGCTGTTGTTCACCAAAACTATTTTTGATTTCTGGCCCATGTTCAGTGAACCTTAAGGTGTAAGGCAGTTTCAAAACAAGCCCCAGTTGTAAGACAATAGGGTTATGGTTGAACCTCTAAGCGGATCCAAGAAACCGGATACATGCGTTCCAGCGAAAACCAGTTCTCACATGGGTGTGTTCTACACTGTCACACAGCCTTCAACGGCCACCCACAAAAGGGTCCTCCTCAATCTTAGTTCAAGTGTGCTGAACTTCTCCAAAAGAGGCTCACGTTCAAAGGGCAAGCAAACGATGTTCTTCTTTGAGGATGCCGTGTGGAGGTTGTTTGTCGGCCCCTTTGGGTCCATATAGTTTCAGACATGAGGGCACCTTTGGTGAGCACTTCCAAGCCGGAGCCATCGATTCGATTCCTTCAACCCCAAAGAGTCAACCAAGTGGCGGTTGGCCTTTCGAACGTGGTGAATTGCAGAGACGCAGCAAGCTGGCGCTTCGCTAGAGCCGCATCTGTAATAAACGCCGTCCAAAAATGGAAGTACCCCAAGATAGACTTCAACCGCGTTTCCCTTTTGTGAAAACCACCACATTGAGGTACTCATCCCGTTGACGCCATTCCCTTCAACCCCAATTCAATTCGGCTCCCACTGAGATTGATATGAAACACACCCATGTATACCTGCCTTATCAAAACTATCGCGAAGCCAAGTCTCGGCCTTCTCCAAACCACGACAGGCAGCCAACGGGCCACGGCCCAAATCCAGCGCTCGGGGTGGCCGGCTCGAGGCCGCTCGCTCGCGGACCGCGCCTCCTGTTGCAACAGCTGCGCCTGGAGCCGCTCCGCCTCCTCCCGCGCCATGCTGAGGGCCTGGCGAGCGATGGATCCGCTCGGTGTCGATCTGTGGCATTTAGCTTTGGCGTCAAGGAGACGAAGTGAGTTTGGGTGAAGTCTTTGCCTTTTGTTTGAAGGAGACAAAGTCGTTTTGGGAGAGCCTGTTGAAATGTGCACTTGGAGGGATCCCGGGGTTGGAGGGAGTTGAATCTGCCAAGAAAAGGTGGGGATATGCGTGAATGAAAGCAGGGCCCTTTGCTTTGCGACAAACGGATCTTGTGGCCATTGAACAAATGAAACACTTGTCGATCTGCCTAAAACGAAAGAATGTGACCCTCAGAAGCTGCCCGAAGCCAGTTGCCCAACTTGACGATGGGTCATTCCGAGTGGATCGTTATACCCTGGGTCAGCCGCCCCCAAAGGCCCGCGCCTCTTGGCTCACCATGGATCTGGCCTGTGCTGACCTGACGGCTCTGGTTCTCTCTGTCTCCGGGGTGGAGAAGTAACTGGTGGCACGGAATTTTTAAGCGCGAAGAAGGACCGACAGCAGGGGTTGAATGCCCCAGCATTTGGATCGCAACGTCCTTACACCAGCTTCAGAGAAGATGCTTTGAGCCAAAATTTCAGCGCCCGTTTTTTGCCCGCTCTCGTTCGCCCAATGCTCCCAATTCCATTTGTTTCCGCCAAAACTTCTCATGGGCCATGGCCATGGCTCCCTTACTATGGAATCCGTATGGTTCTCTCGGGCCAGCTGTTGAGAAGAACCCTTGTGGCTCTCTTTAAACCATGTCCAGTCCCGAAGTTTGCATCAAAAAGGGCACCGGAATGCAGCCGTCCGGTTGCCACTGTTCTGGACATGGCATGCCAAGAGGAGTCTTGCGTTTTGAGGGCACATCTTTCCAACAAGGTAGAGTAGTCCTAACAGAACAAGCCCGCGAAGATGGGTCAACTCCAAGGCCAGTCCCGCGTCAGGGCCTTACTCGCGACCCTATCGCACAAGGCCGGAGCAACTGGTTGGCTTTCTCCTCAGCACCTAGGTGTGCATGGCTCTGTTGCCTTCTTACCGAAGCCATTCGTTTGGGGGGCGGGGGTTAGCGATATTCTGGAGAACAAAGAAAGAGTGAAAACCATGGCCAGAACGTGACATAGGATTGTCAGCAGCTATATATATATATATATGAGGAGCGGACGAAACCCTTTACTTGGCCTTAGTACTTTTTTTAACGTCATCGTTTTTGGGGGAGACCTCATCGTTTTACAGTGTTTTCGAACTTTGGCAGATCCGGCTCCAAAATCGCAACTTTCTAGCACAAGTCTAGTACGCGAAGTACACTTCCGCAGCTCCAGCTCGAAATTCGCAGCTTTGTAGTACAAGTCTAGTACGCGAAGTACACTTCCGCATCTCCAGCTCGAAAATCGCAACTTCTCAGTACAAGTGTCGTATTTACAGAGCCGTGTGTTCGTTAAGGGTCATCGTTTTTGGGGGAGACCTCATCGTTTTCCATGGTTTTGGGATGTGTTACTCAAAAGCGTGCCCCGTCTTGATAAAGTGGTCTACGCGTGTTTTGTCCGTGGCTCATATATATATATCACTTAATCATCTGGCTGCGAGCATTGTCAAGGTTCTTACAAATAAGCAGGCAGCCAAGCATGCCGTCCCTCCCTCACAAGCAAGCCCGCAAGCACGCAAGCAAGCACGATGCTCGCGCGCACAGCTCAGCAAACCCAAAACTCACGGACTTGTTGGCTGCATACACACCCAATGCTATGTTGGCCTTGTATGTGCGGTATGGCACGTACTTGATCCCTTTGATATATAGATGGTTGTCACGGCTTCCGCAACGAAACACGCTTATAAAAATCTCCAGTGAGCCAGGGGGCAAACCATCTTCCAAAATTTCCTATAGTCGTAAGGATTCTTGCTAAGGGGAAGCAGGTGTGAAAGCGGCCATGTGTGACGTACAAGTAGCCTAAGTCCCCGTTTCATGGGATTTAGCGAGAGTTGGTAATTAATCCATTGAGGTTTTTGGTAAGCACTAAGCACTGTCAGGATCCCAATCAGGAAACCGCCGCAATTTGGTTATAAACCGATTGAGTTTAAACCATAGTAGCTATGCCTTTGCGAACAGAGATATCATTTGTGTTACTTTGGACGCTCGTGCCCTGTTTGCCACATTTCAAATCACGCCTTTGGCGGGGCAGTTCATTCCGGCGGTAGCGTGATGCCAACGACGCACACTTGCAAAACTGAGTGATCGAAAATCGGGAGGTTCGTGGACGGCAACCAATATCGAACCCAAATAAATCCGAACAACTCTCCGGAAAAGTCCGCCAGCCCAAAAAAGGAGAGCTGCCACCAGTTGCTGGGGCCCCAGCCAGAGAGCACCGCTAGCAGCTCTTGGCCCTCCTGATCAAAACAGCGCATTGCCAGTTTGACTTTCTGCGGGTCCATCCCCTTTGGGTTGCCTTTAGGAAGGCATAAAGAGGACTCCCCCGCAAGTTGTCCCAAACAGCGATCAAGCAAAGACCATCCCCTGCCTTCAGTCTCTGCTTCAGCTCAGCCTCACTCTGCGCCTGAAGCGTGCACCCATGCTTCCCATGAGCACTGGTTCACACGGGTCGCCGCAGCTGAGAACCGGGAAACTTAGGGCCAGTCCAGCAAATTTGCTGAAAGCTCCCCGAAACTTGGGCTAGCAATTCGTTTCGCTTCTCTGTAACTTTCCAATGGGGGGGGGCAACTTTTTGGAAACAACCATTTGTTGGTCTCTATCGTGTTGCGAGCGCCACAAAAAAGCAAAAGCGTACAGCCCCTCCAACTACTCCACTTGTAAAGGGCATCGCTTCAGAACACTGGTTAATATGTAAAGGTTAGCATTTCGCTTTTCTTGATTCTCGAGATGAAGAGCAGGCTGATATCTGACATACACGGAACTCAGCTACCGAAACGAAGGATTCAGCTACAATGGTGACAGCAAAGCGGCAATCCACAGCACCTCAACTTTTGCGTGCATGCCTGACACTCGCCGAACTTCGATGCCATGCCATAGGTGCTAGCGCTTCGGGACTTTGCGCGATTGACAGCGCAGTTGCATCACTGGCTCTTCCCCTTCGCCTCCGATCTCCGGGCCATCAGAAGCTTGACAGTCAAGATCAGTGTCTCGATCAAGGAGAGCTTCATCACCGTGGTGATGAGCCACTTGCCCAACAGCCGTGCCGTGAGGTGTGGCTTCTCTGCAAAGGTGGCGAATTGCAAGCCGACCGCCCCAGCTGTGAGTGCCACCGCATAGACCATGCAGCATGTGGATATGACCTGCTTCGCTCCGCCCTCGTCCTGCCAGTCCTTCTTCAGCACTGTGCGCACCACCTCCTTGCCAAGGAGAATGTCTACGGCGCCCCCGGCTGCCGAGCACAATGCGCTGTCGATATGGTCCTCCAGCCAAGTGGACGGGAACAGCTGAAGATCCTCCTGAATCATGTCGAACAGCGCAGGGATCCAACGCCGCAGGTAGAAGTATTTCAAGTAGACGCCGTACCACGCAGCCGCCACGGCCATAGCAAGAAAAACAACTCGCTCGTGAAACTTGAAGGAGTCGTTCTTTTCGGTGCCAGCATGGAAAACTCCGAGCAGAGCGTGGTGCGTCTGCACATGCGCGATCCACTCTGCCCTCGTCAACTGACCCATCGCTGCTACACTGAGAAGCAATGGAAGCAAATGCTGCTTCTACATGTACGTCTAGCTGTAAGTGCTGCTAAACATCTGCAACTGCTGCTGCTGCTGCAAATTGGCCCAACTCTGCATGTTCAAGTCTGATCTCGCCACCGGCACAATGGGGGGAAGCATTAGCCATTCGCGGAGATTCCCAGTGGTTGTACGTTTCAAAGAAAGCAGCATGACTTACCAACCAGTTGAAACGCCCCGTGTCCTCAAGGAGTGTGGTTTGGCGTCTATGAGCCCCACCCCCAAAATGGGACTTTGATGAGACCTGATGAAGGCCCCATTCGGTGGAACCCTGCAGGTTTGCCAGCTTGATCAGTTGATCAGTGCTCAATGCCACATTTCCCCAGCCCAATTAGGCAGTGATGCAGTGGGGTCCCGTTCCCTCTTCCGTTACCTTGAGTGGTCCCATCCTTTCTGTTGTTGGAAAAGGCCCAGCAAGCCTCCTCAACTTAGAACTGGGAATGCTGCTGGAAAAGAGCACACTGAGAGAATACCCATAAAGACAAAACGAGGGAGAATAGCAATAGAAAAACCAGAGCAGAGAGCTAAGTTCTGAAAGTGGTAGCACCCGAGCCTGGTCGATTGAGTCCAACGAAATGCAGGTGCAAAGCGGCCTCCTTACCCGGCATTCTGACATTCGTTTGACACTGTCACGCACCCTTCAAAGAGTAGCACGTACAACTCTCCTCCGCGGCTGCCCGCCTCTCGCGCCTTGCTTGCGTCCTGGCAGCAACACTGGATCCAAGTCGGAGGTGAGGTTGCGGAGGTTCTTGGGAGGTTCAGAAGCTTGCGGTTGTTTGAAGGTCTACTTTTGTGGATGCCTGAGTGTCAAAAGTGCCAAAACTGCGCTGCTTCTTGCACTAGGATGTCGAATCGAAGGGCACTGGTGCGAAAATCCTGGGAGCGGCAGCCGCTGAAGCTGGAGAAACACCTTACCATCATTTCCCTTAACAACCAACCAAAGGGGAGTGCCCGAAAATGGGACACACTCTTTTGTTCTTTGAGCCGGCTGTTTTTGCAAGCAACCATTGGCAAGCTGTCTGAGTTCTAGATCAGCTACCAACAACGCTAACTCTGGTTCGGATTCCTTTGGCGCTCATCTGGGTCGATCTATCTCGGGCTTCTCCTTCTGTTCGCGCTCAAAACGCGCAGGACACATCGGCCCAGGAGGCAGACCATGGCAGTTCAACTGGCAGCTGGCTGCTAATCCCGCCACTCATAGGAACGAATTTCCCTCGTCTCTGCGCTGCTCAGCACCATCGCGGTCTGCGCCCTTCTTCGCAGTGCCGGCCTCCACTGCTGCGGCTGCCAACTGTCTGGCTGAGAGATTCTCCTCGGGCGGTGCTCCTGCCATCGCGCTCGCTCTTGTGGGCGCCTCTCTCTATGCCTGCCCACTGGGCGGGCAGGCGCGTCTTTGCGGCGAGGCGCACCCGCATGGGATTCCTCCTCTCTCCGTCTTTTCTTGACGTTGGCAATTCCTTGGTGAATGCTCTGCAAGACAGTACAGTCTTTGTGCGGCAACTTCACATGGCGAAGCGACTGGGCCAACAACTCCCGCAGTTGTTTGAGAGACGGCTTGGCAGCATGGCCCACTTGGGCTTCCACACGTTCTGCCGCAGCTCGGCCACGACCAGCCGACAATCCTGGTGTTTCTGGGAATGAAGTACTGTAACAAACAACAAAATGTCCGAGGCCTATCCTGTTCGGGCAGTTCCCACTTATCTGACCTCAAACAAAGCGGCTGTGAATCAGTATCAGAGCAAAAACCGCACGATTCCGATCCTGCGCCAAGCACGCCCATCCCACCCAGTCCTTTAGCAGAAAGCCGCTCGCAGCGGACCCCATCCAGTTCTTTGGGCGAGAGATTGTCCAGCACTCCCTGCACTGCAACGTAGCAGTCGTTCATCTTGTCCCCGAGCCAAGCTTCCTGGGCATCATCCACGCTGATAGCCTGCGCTCGTCGAGAATCCACCAACTCGGCCAAATGGATGGCTTGCTTCTCGGATTGCGTCAAGCCGGAGAAGTCACCACTCGTCCAGCAGTCCAAAAGGCGACTAATTTGCTGCTCCTCAGAATCAGAGCTGCAAACAACCTGCGGGCCTGCAGCTTGCGATGAATTGCCAGCAGGCGTCTGCGTACGCTGCCCAAAGTTGAATTCGTGCTGGTGTTTGTTGTACAACTTCCTTTTCGCGGCATTCACCCAGCGGTCCTGCTGTTTTGACAACTTCGGCTTCTTCTGGCACAGCTCTTCCATCAGGCCATCCAAGATAATGTCCAGGCCACAGAAGCAGGACTCCGGGCCATGTGGGCAGTCGGACTGCTGCGATTCCCCGTGGAATTCACACTTTGCGAGGTTGACGATAATTTTTGCCTTTTGCTCCCCGCGAAAACTGTTCTCATATCCTGCCATCACCAGCGGCGTCTCGAGGCTTGGCTCACGCACGTACCGGACCTGACTCTCATCCAGGTCTGCAAGGCAACACTTGAACTCTAATTCCACCGGATAAGCCCAACCCAAGTCGCGGATGAGATACCCCAGGAGTTGCACTCTATGACGCTTCAACTGCCTCTGCAAGCAGTCTATAGCAGATCCATTGGTGATCATGCTAGCTTGCCGAATCTGCACAAGCTCGCTGAAGGGACGAATGTGCGCCTCATTGGCGGGCCCATCATCATTTCGCGTCGAAACGATAATTTTCTCAACGTCCGAGTCAGTTATCAGCTCCAGTGTGATGTCGGTGCCTGGGCATGACTCGTACCGCACTCGATCCGTCAGTGTTGTGCGCAAAATTTGCTGCGCAATGCGCATTGCAAGCGAATGAGCTGATGAAGATCTGGCCTCTGCGGCAGACTCTGCCAGTTTGTTCTGCTGTTTCTGCCACAGTTCTTCTGGGGTATTCAGACTTGACCGCAGGACCCTGAAAAGCTTGTCCGATATGTTGACCGGGTTCTTCTTCAACTTTGCAACCACCATTTTGTGCCCCTTGTAGTCCGTCTTGGATACGGGTAAGGAATCAGGATGTCGGGACCTGAACACGTTGTGCAGCATTCCAGGGATGGCAGGCTCAAGATATTGCAGGTATCTGTGGAAGGCTGTTGCCTCCAGGGAATCCTCATCATCAATCGCGTCATACAACCTGACACAACCGCAAACTTCTGATTTTGGCGCATTTACAATATCCCGGCAAGACACCCCAAATAGTTATCACCATGGCTTACCTTGATAGAAGCGCGTTTAATAAATTCTGACACCTCCCCCGCCTGATGAGCAACAAAACGTAAACGCGTCAACGTCTCTGCTCTAGAAAAGATTCTGTCATACTTCACACGCTCTCCTGTCAACTTCTCTTGTGCGCGATGCTGTGAGTTCATGCTGCGCGCGCAGATATGCGTGCGGCTACGCGTGATGTGTGCTGCGCATGATGCTGCACATGGCGCAGTGCGTGACGTTGCGCACAACGCCGTGCACGATGCTGAGCGCGATGCTATCTGCTTGGCTGCGCAAGAAGACTGGCGGTTTTGGTTGCGGAGTCGAAATCTACTTCTACTTCTGCCCGTACAAGTTGCACTTTCGGGCTGGAGATACGGAAGTATCTAAATTTGCGCGCTGCTTTTGGTCCACTTCAAAGTTGCGATTTTCGAGCTGGAGTTGCGAGAGCGCGCTTCGCGCGCTATCTTTGCACGTAAACACTTACGACTTTGCAGCCGCAGTACTTCGCATACTACCGCGTCGGACTCGAAGTTAGAAGTTGTGGCAACGCACTTCGCATGCTACTTTGCCACTGAAAAGTTGCGACTTTGCACTCAGAGCTCCGGGACCGCACTTTGCGTGTTCTACTTTTGTACTTAGTTAAGACTCCCGAAATTCGACCTGGAGCTGCGGGGACGCACTTTGCGTACTACTGCTGTACTCAAAAGTTGCGATTTGGCAGCTGGACCTCTGAGAACGCGCTTCGCGCGCTACTTTTCACTCAAAACTTGCGACTTTCGGCCGGAGCTGCCTTAGCGCGCGGGAGCGCACTTCTTCACTTCGCGTGCTACTTATTGCGAGCCGGAGCTGCGGGAGCGCACGTCCCGTGCCACTTTTGCACTTAAAAGTTGTTTTTTGCAGCCGGAGCCGCGACTAAGACACACTTGCACGGCGCAGCGAGAGCGCTTCGACACGCACGGTCCTCGCAAGGCGTTTGCCGAGCTCGAGACACATTCGAGCGGCTCCACAGCGAGAGCGCTTCGACACGCACGCCCGTTCTCTGCAGAGGGTTCGGCGAGCTCAAGACACACATTCACATTCGTGCGGCGCCACAGCGAGAGCACTTTGACACGCACAGCCTCCGCAGAGGGTTCGCCGAGTTAAAGACACGTTTTGGCGCCACAGCGAGAGCTCTTCGACATGCATGATCTGCGCAGAGGGTGCGCAAAGTTAAAGACACTGACTTTCGCACGGCGCGACAGCGAGAGCGCTTCGACATGCACAATCTCCGCAGAAGGTTCGCCGAGCTCAAGACACATTCGCAAGCGCTCTCGGCAGAGGGTTCGCCAAGCTCCAGACACATTCGCACGGCGCCACAGCGAGAGCGCTTCGACACGCACGATCCCCGCAGAGGGTTCACTTTCGCCTTGACTCACAGAATGCTGCGCTAGCCATGGAATCCAGCCGTCAACACACAATCCAACGCCACAACGAGAGTGCAGTTTTGAAGAAAAGTCTGCTTCACTCAAAGCTGGACAACTGTTGGTGACAACTGCCATGGGCTTAGATCTCCGATTGTCCAAGCGTCGTAGCCTGACCGAACAAGAAGACACCACTGCATAGCGGTTTGGCACGAGGCTTGCTCAACAAAAAACACACACACACACACCGCATCACAGTGCGAGCACGGCGCCACAGCAACAGCGCACTGCCCGCGCGAACCCACATTTCGCGAGACTGTGGCATCGAAGACAACTTTTTACGCACAGGGCCAGCAGTTTGAGTGCGAACCCTCGATCTGACCCAGCCTTCACTCTTAGCGTAAGAACCCCTTAGTCTGGGTTGGGATGGCCTTCTACTTGTTGCCCATGGTTGCGTGGGTGGTTGCCTGCAACTAAAGGGTGCATATTCTTTCAGCCCCTCAAAAGCACAAACATGCAGAGCCCATTTGCTGTGGAAGTGGACAATCAAAATATTCACCAAGCCCCCTACGACACTGACACTTTTCTCGACAGTGATCCCAGGAAGTCCAGGCTTAGTTCAACAAAAGACGGGGTGGCCTCTGCCCAAGCAGCATAAAGGCTTCTGCCAACTCGAGACTGAGCAACAACTCTGCCAGCTGCTGGCACCTCTGCGCTGCATCATTCCATACGTTGAAGGTGTGTACAAGCTTCTGATTCTCTTCGAGGTGGCCGATCCGGTCACGACTCGTCACTTCAATGTCGCGCAAGTTCAGCCCGAGATGGTTCCGAGCACCGGTCAAGACCCTCATGTCCCGGACATATATGCATCCTCGAAAGGCGTCACCTTGTAAAATGTCGCCGTAGGTGCCACTCACCACCTCGAAAGCAGGACAAAGGAATAGGAATTGAGTCATATCAAAGGCTGCTTTCTCCAAACCCGTGATGTAGATGCAAGTGTCTTGATTGGCCATGCCCAAAGAATCTGGCAGCTTCTCCTCACATGCAGCTGTGGTGACCTCCAAAGTCTCCATGTTGTGGACTCGTGCGGTCGGGGTTTTGAACCCCCACCCGAAAGTCCACGTGTGCCCACTGGAGTAGATGCGAAGGGTCACACCGGGTTGCTGTGAAAGTACGCAAATTGCCGACTGCAGGCCATCACCGAATTGGCCGCGTCGGCGTCCTGACAAAAGTCACGGGCCTCACACAGCCCATGGATTTCGGGCAGGGCGTTCCATTGAAATTTACACAATGTAGGGATGCTTCCTGCAAAGTTGGCGGTGCGAAACGCAGCAGCACACGCTTCAATCAGTGACTACAAAATCAAGTATCCTTGAACAACTCGGTACGACGTGCAGAGGTCAGGCATTGAGTTGTCAATCACGGATTCATAAACTCGTCCTTTGTTTGGTGGCTGGAGCCAGGTCGCCAAAGGCAGACGAGGTGGCCTTGCTCAATGAAAACCCAACCCTTTGTTCACAGCCCCGATTTGTGATGGAGTGCCCCCTTTTCCTGGGGAAAAAGCCAACTTCTGGGGGTGTGCCGTGGTGCGAGTACATGAAAAGCCTCTGGGGTGTCGGCTGTCCTTGTTGCTTGTCCTTACCTGCCCAGCCATCCCACATCATCTCCAAGAACATCTTGCTGGAGAAGTTGGTCAAACTCATGGAGATGGTACCCTGCTTTTCCCACACAGTCAGGGCTGCAAGCGAAATGTTCGCCGCAGGCAGGATGGAATGGTAGGATGTGCTGGAAACACCATGATCAACATCAATCTCGCTCTGGCTTGACACCCTCACACAAGCCGCCGAGGAGCCACTTCGCTCAGCTGCAGCGTCAGCTTCGTCCTTCCAATTCTGGACCAGCTCTGCGACTGCAGCATTTTGGCTCCATTGCCTGCAGCAGGGTTGGGCCAACCCATTTTTGTAGCATGTTCGATCCAGCTCCGTTTCAACAACCTCCGTTTTGGCCTCCCTTAAAAGGGAACCAAAGTGTGGTGTAGTGTTTAAACAAAATTTGCCCAACCCTGGCCTGCAGCGATGCTTGGTGTAATGCAACTGGCATCTGCCAGGCTCCACGCGCTCTCCGCAATCTGCCTTTGCCGGAGGCTTCCGCTCTTGCAAGTGCGGCTGAAGGCTGTCCCATAGGCCAAGTACAGGGCGAAGAATGACGCAGCCAGCCACGGGGCCACCCGTGATACCGTGGCAAACACAGCCCCCGAGAGTTTGCTCCCACAAGGAGCGACGCGCTGAATCAATGTCGAAAGCGGAGAGCCTACATGACATCTGGATGTCTTTGGATGCACCATCTGGCAGACGGTGGCTGAAGCAAACTGTAAAGGCATCCACGCCATTCAAGGGTAGCCCGAATACTGAAATGTAAATAAAATGGCGTCTGCATTCAGTGCCCCAGCAGGGCCAGTGTTGAAAACGATATGCTGGAGCATCTCTGATGAAGGTGTAAAGGCTGTTAAAGCAACTTAGAGCACTGTCCGCAATCCCGCTCAGCTTCACGCGGCTCGGCCAATCCATCATGCGGCCATCCTCACCAAGTTGCTTTTCACCAAGTTGTCTTTTTTGGTATACAAAAATCGTGGAATGAAGTGTTCCTTGCGCTTGCAAAGGTAACCATCATGAGTTTCCCAAATGTGTGCTGCAGTGGCTGCCAGCAACTAACGTTTGCACAAACCCTATGTGCTTCAATGCAACACTCGCAGCAGGTAGCACACCACTATTCACTACATTGCTCTCCTATGAGCCCAAGGCGCACAGCATATAATATCCAGCCACACAAGGCGGTACAGTGCACATGAATGACGTCAGCATGGCTTGTAGCATGGCCTGCGAAAAAGTAGGATCCTCTGTGCACTGAGAAAGAATGAGGCGGCAAGCTGAGCATGAAACCCAGCTGCGAAGTCGCCAGAGGATGGCAACACGGTTGGATGCAGCTCTTGATGGGCAAGTGTCGCGACATCCACGCCTGCGCCCGCATCTGCACTCTGATGTCACTCTCCTCAGCGTGAGTGCTCTGATGGACTGCGGTCTTCGCCCTCTGCATGGGTGCTTTGGAACTCAACTTGAAACAGCAAACAACCACACACACACACACACACACACACACACACACACCCACACAGACCTTCATGCGCAGAAAAGCAGCCTTCGTGCATTTGTGTCTGGAAAACATGGCAAAGCCAACAGGTGAACCCAAACATAAGCAGTCCAGCAGGCTTCGCCAAGTAAGGCCCCAGTCCGCTCGCCCAAATCCTGAACAATGAGATGAGTTGCAAAGTCCCCTCCAAACACTGCAATTGCTGACCTAAGCGGCTTGTGGCCGCGGCATGTTCGCTTAGGTCCTAACATGGCACGTTCATGAAATGCAAACTGGGCCATGTCAGAAGGCATCGCATCTCCCACCAAACATGGTTCCACTTGATGGAACACCCTTGGAAACGGTAGTGAAACTGCTTTAATCGTCAAAAGGGGGAATCTTGCTCGTGCTCAGCAGCGAATGAGGGAATGACCCCTATAAACCATCCCTTGTGGTTTCTTTTAAGGGGACCCCTGGGTTCATTCCCTCATTCCCTACTGAGCACCAGCAAGGAATACAAGACTTCTCCCCAAAGCCTCTGGCCACTCTGGGCGTCGCATCTCAGCCGAACCACTCGCAGGGATCCCAAAACCTTGCCCGGCTTCCATTTTGACGTCAACCGAGTTGGCTCCCCGGCATGGATTGATTATATGGGATTGGAAATCCTTCTTATTCTATCGCGTTGACGTTGTTCTCCTTCTTGGAACGAAACCCCTAATCACTGGTGCCTGCACCGCCACAGAACTTGCCGTATCCAGAACTCGCCCGTCCTTCACGAGGCTCACTATCCTAGGATTCCCCATTTGCAAAATGGCCCAAGTGAGTCTCAAAATGGAGAACCCCTGTTTTCCTTTTGTCGTCCCTTCAAAGCAACCGAAAAGGGTGCCAATTCCACGAAGAGACTCAAATGGGCCAGGGCTCCATGCTTGATCCCAGAATGCGGAAATCCACCAAATCATTGTTCAACAAGCCTATTTCGCAAACTGGAACCAGTGGATTTATCTCAATGCGGTTCTTTTCACTTTCACTTGAAAACCGACCCGGGGCAGGGGGGGTTGGGGTGGGGTGGGGGCGGCCTCCCCCCCCTTAAGACCCCTGGCCACAGCGCCCTGGCGGGCCCGGAGCTGCGCCGCCGCTCGCTCCAGCGCCTGGCAGAGGCTCCCCAAAACATGAGCACCGTGAATGGAGCAAGAGGCACCTGAATGGGACCCGAATTCACCAACATGGCACCATGAACGGACCAAAGACTACCTGCGCAACACCCCCAGCTCCTTAGTTTTGAGCACCCATTTGAGTCACCGGGGTTGCCGTTGAATGATGATGGGAACCAAATAATTGAAGTCCTCTCGATGTGTTCGTGGATGTCGATGTCCTGTTTTTGGATCACAAGCAACGAGAAAACCAACCAGTCTTGAACGGCAATGCGGCCAGTATAATTTTGCAAAAAGACTGTCTGCTTCATCTTTGGCCCTTTAAGAAGAGTTGCGTTTTTTAGAGTATGGTCTGAATTTTGTGAACCTCAAACGCAAACTCGCTGAATGACGTCAAAATAGGCTCCCAGAAAAGAGAAAAAAGAAGTGGTGTACCTTTCTCCCTCCTCCTTTATGCGGACAATAGAGCGGACCCTCTCAAAGAGGGCGACTGGACAGGTTTCTCTAGACTTTGCAGGGACCCTTTGCTTGCCAGAAATCGGAGGCGAAAGGTAAACACTGTCTGATCTCACTCATGGATTCCTTGACCCTTATCAAATATCGAGATTTGATTTCGCCCGACACCTTTTCCAGCTCCTCTTCGCCTTAAGCAAACCTCTGCCAGTTGACAGTTGTCAGCCACAGCCTCGGAGTTTCTTTCCACCCATGGCTCAAAGGGAGCCTGCAGTTCATGACGCAAGGACAGGCAAGGTCTGGCTCTTCACAACGGAAAATCCTCTTGCAGAAAATGACATTCTATCTGGCTCTGTGTTTGCTTTGCGTGCCTTTAAACCCATCCCACAGGGGGCTTCGCTCTTTGAATCAGCTGTATCCGCGTGAGCTGTCATTTGTTGAGCCATCAACGGGTCGAGATTTGATTTTTTAGCGCTGTTCGCTTCCGTTAAGGGCTTGTTTGTTTCCAGCCACGCTGCAATCATATTAAGAACATCGGCTGGACATGTCTTGCGTCGCTCCACCCGTCTCCTCCCGGTCTCGGGACCCCCGCCTGCATCTCCGCCTGCCACGCCTCCCGGGCCTGCCGCACCGGCGCCGAAGCATCGGCCTGAAAGGCTGCAACATGCAAAACATCCCCCCGCCCGTTGGGAGTGTTTGCTCCAAGTTCGCCCTTAAATTGGTTTCCAAAATGGGTGTCCTCTCACAGCCATCCCAAAAGGGGCCCTCCCCTTTTAGAAGACCACTCTCCGTGTTGCACTGGGAGGCCAAGGACTCCAGTGATGCTCACCCAGTGGGATGATTCGGTTTCAACCGCCGGGGGGCCTCGTCCATGGCGAGGGGGACTATCAACCAGAAGTTATGTTCATTTCTAAAAGCAAAACCACGTGAGATCATCAAGAAGATACATATACCATCATCGGAGGCTAAGCTCAGCCACAAGTAAACACACACACAGAGCATGTCCGTTTGGAAAAACAAGTTAATGGGGTCCGCCGGTAAATGGTTAGAACCAAACTGAAACCCACCAAGACCGCCTATCTTCACCCAAACAAGCCTACAAAAGACACCTATATCTGTTGCACGGCAATCTTCGCCTCATCCACATGGCGCTTGTTCTCGGCCGTGAGCTCCTCGCACCTGCGTGTGACGTTGGGTGCTGCTCCGATGGCCACGCAGTTCTTGGCCATATTTGAATCCTCTCAAAGAAGTTGAACACTTGCGGCGCGATTCCTCTGCATCTGTCGATCTATTGATGAGTGTGAATTTATGTGTATATATATATATGTGTATATATATATAATGTGTGTATTGTTCAAATATAATATGTGTGTGTGCGCATACAATAGGACTCGCGCACTCCATTGAATAGCTGCGGCGCAATAAACATTGACCTTCCTGTGCGAGTTTTGCGTGTTGCGGACACTTAAACTTAAAGCACCCGACTCCCACCAGGGGCCTATTGGGAGCATGTCTGGGTAAGCCAGACAGGATATTGGTCCTCAAAGGCACTCATGAACTATGCAGTGAGTGAGTCGGTGGCTCTCCTCCAAATCCTCATACCCCAGCTTGGCTGATCCGGCTCTCGAAATTACAGTAGAACGCTCATGCAGTCTGGCAAAGCAATGCCTTCAAGTATGACTAAGTACGACCTATGTGTCTCACTCGCAATTGCACCAAACAGAGGTTGTTGCAATATATGTTCTCATTCCACATCGGCTCCTTCTCATGAGGTATCTGAATTGAATGTGATATTCCAGCTGTAAAACTCCGCTCTTGGTACGCTCCCCATGGCTCGACGTGCTTTCCTCAGCAAGACTTTCCAACGAGAAATGTGGCACTTTCTGACCAAACCCATTTTGGTCCCTTCCTGCTTCTGGTCAAACATTCGCCTCACTTTGCAAGCCAGGCAAAACGGTTGTGTGTCAAACACTGGGTGCCCTCCAATCGGTATTTCGGCTGCCCTGCACCCCGAAACTCGCTGGGCCCTGCCCGTTGCCAAGGCGATCCGATTTTTGCGACTTCGCTTTCAGCGGTCGCAACTCTGCGGCTCCAGGCAGTCTTTGGCCCTTCAGAATAGTGCCCCAGGGAATGCAACTCGCGACTTGCCAATGGCACACTCGGCATCCGTGAAAAGCCAAAAAGGTTTGCCGTGTGTGGTAAGTTCTTTCGGCGCAAAAGGAACATCTCGAATGCCCGGATGGCCTTCCCAGTATCCTCTGACTCCGGTTTGCATGGTCAATCACTGTGGAATCCCTGACCTGCAAACCACCAGCGTCCTGAAGCGCCAACTGCTAGTAGGATTCAGAATTCAGAAATGGTGCATAAGCTCACCCAGTAGCGCGCCCCTCTGTCTGGGTGGCCATCTTAGAATGCTCCTTGTACGACATCATTGATGCCACGTTTTGCTTTGGCTGTAAGAGGACTAGAAGACAAGTGCGGCACGTGTCTAACACCGGGAAAAGTTCAAGTTCTCGGATTCCTTCCTTGACTCCGCACAGTACCTGAAAGGGGGAGGGGAGTGTGCTTGTCATGAGGAATGCCGTTGTCACTGCTTTATTAACATAAATAGCAGCCAGGGGCTACTTGAAAGGATGGGGCGAAAACAACTGTCGTCAATTGTGTGCGACCTAGGATTCGTCGCACAAATCCGTCATTCACGCTGAAAGTTGCATTGCCCTCCGCTCCAAAAGCGGCTTCAAAATCCCCGGCCCCCTGCGGCTTGGCCGCATTGGCTTGGCTTTGCCACGCCTGGGAGGCTGGGCGGTCTAAAATCAGCTGGCTTCTGTTTCGCGGAGGCATCACAAATCCCTCAGGTGCCAATGAACAGCTTACCCCAGCTCCATGCAAAAACATCATGGACCTTGCAGAACATGACCCAACAGAACAACGTGTGCAACCATTCCACCCACATGTTGTTCAGCAGATTTGGGACCGGCGTCCCAGTGCCCCGGTCCAAGGCAGCCAGCTGCGAGACTCTGAAAAGGGCACCCGAAAAGATTTGCCAATGGCCACATGTGGGTCCTGCAAAACACCCTCCGTTGCCTATGCCTTGAAAAACCATTCACCAAGGGGAGGTCTTAGAGGAATCACTCATGTCTCAAATCTGGGGAAATCTGCGAACCCTCCGCATCTCCCTCTTTGACCTCCTTCCACGCATCGCGTAAGGAAAGTGACACTCTTGTTCGCGTGCCGTTTTCAGAGCCGTGCCAGCTTCAGACTCTTCG